CTAAGTTTATAGGTAATATTACCTTTAAAAACTAACTAAAAAAAGTCTATTAAAGCTCTCTTTTTTTTAGTAATAACTAGAGTAGTGCCTAAAGGTATAGTTCTATACTTCTTAGCTAAACTAGGCACTTAGTTATAACCTTAAACTAAAATAAAAGTTAAAATTAATTAATTAAATAAATAAATATTTAGATTATAAAGACTAGGATTAGTAAAATTAATAGTAGTTACTTTACTAGTCCTCTTAAGCTTCTTTTTTTACTTTTTATAAAGCACTTTAACCTTAGTAATACCTTTATAGAGGGTCTAACTTTTAAACTTTAACTTTTACTTAAAATATTAGTCTTAGAAGTAAAAATAACTAAAGGGAATCTAAGACTTACTAAACTCTTTATATCTCTAGTGTAAGTATAATAAATAAAGCTATTAGTAGTATTAACTAACTTATTAAGAATAGTAATATAAGATATATTATTCTTAATATAGTGTTTATAAGGACTATTTTTATTTACTAAAGTATATTTACCCTAGAAAAAGCTATAAATAATACTTTTAAGATAGCTAAAGTAGATCTAGTCTTAGTATAAACCTTTCTTAAGAACTAGGTTTCTACTTATATTAAGTATACACTTTTTATAAAAGTATATTAAACCTTTACTACTACCTACCTTATACTTCTTATTAATAAGTAAAAAAGAAAAGCTATAACTAAGCTTATTATTTTTAGATTATTATTAATAAGTAAATTATCTTTTAACTTATCTAAAATATAATTATTATTAAAATTTTTATAATTATCTTTATTTTTAATAAATAAAGTAATAATTTATTTTTAATATACCTTCTTTACTACTATATATATATACTTTATAGGCCTCTTTATAAAGTCCTTTTAGTGCTTTCTCTAATTCTATTAAAGAAGGTAAATAAGGCTATAACTACTTAAATTAGCACTTATTATTATTAAATTAGTAAAACTAATAAGATTTTTTTTAAATAAACTAAGATCTATTAGTAAGTAAAAAAACACTTTATAACTAAGAAAAGAAAAAAACTTATATTTAGTATACTTATCTTAAAGAATTATATTATACTTTTTAACTATAATTAAAGTTCTTTATAGTGTTTTACCTAAGTAAATTAAGAAAAAAAGTACTATATTTCCTTTATCTAAGTTAAGGATAACTAGGGAATTAGTTAGACTAATAGATAAAGTATTACTAGGCCTAGGAGTAAAGATCTTACTAGGACCCTAGTTACCTAAGACTAGGCTAAAATTTATACTTCTAGTAAAATTATAACTAGATATTATACCTAATTAAGGATATAACTTAAAAAACGTTCTAGCTATTAAACTACTATATAAGCTAAGGAGTTTAAACTTAAGTATAAATATATTCTTTTATTAAAAAGGATTATTAGTAAAAACGTAAATCTAAATAATTTCTTAGTTAAAAAAACTATAGAACTTAAGAAGTAAAGATAGTTACTAACTAAGAAACTTAAGCTATTTAAAATATATTACTAGTTAAAAGAGAGGCTATAACTTCTTTTTTACTTCTTTTTAACTATTAGCTATCTAAGAATAACTTTAGAACTACTATATAAACTAAAATATATAGTAAATAAAGAGGATATTAACTTACTTTACTTAATAAGTTATTAGTTAAAAAAAAAAAAAAAAGTTAGATAATAAGATATTAAAAAATATTTATTATTTAACTAGTAAGTAGTTAACTATTACCTATTTTAAAAAAAATAAGTACCTTAAGAAATAAAAGGAACTACTACTAAAGTAAATAATAATAAATAATAAGATATAGTATTAAAAGACTTTTTATATAATACTATTATTTACTTTATTACCTATTAATTAGCTTAAAAGGCTATTATTAACTAATAACTATCTTGTTTTTTTTTATTATAAAAATATCTATAGTTTTTTATCTAGTTATAAAGATAGACTTTATAACTAGGGGGGTATATTATAAAGCTAGGATAGCTTTATATAGCTAGTTCTAGTTAGAGACACTATAGAGTAGTGCCTCTAACTAATAAGACCTATATTAGGAAGAGTATTTCTAGGCAAGTTTTCTTTTGTACTTAGACTTAGGAAAATCAACTACTTCTCTTTATAAATGTCAGGACGCTGCAGTTCATTACAGAATTTGTTGCCCTTGAGTAGGTTAATTTAGATGAGCGCTTAGTCGAAGTCCATAGATTCCATCTCCTTGGCCATGACTTCAGCCTTTTATAGGAGGGGTGTCCAGCTAGTAATATTGAATCAGTGTCTGGTGCACTAGCGATGATAGACAGCGATCCGTCTAAATACTGTCTTGATCTTGTCTGTGCCAATGGTCAAGCCCAACTTGCCTTCCTCGTTAGTTGTAACGTAGGATTGTCTGGCCACCAGATAGGCCTCGACGATTTTAGAGATAAAATTCCCCTTGTTGTCATCGATGGCCTTGATGATATCGTCGTTGATGACTGGGAGCTCCAGCATCTTTATGATGGTGCCTGCATTGAGCATGTGTCGTGATATAAGCCGTAATTGCGCAGTGGCAATTACGGATCCGCTTTTGTCATCACAGCATGTCCAAGCCGTTAGTCATGAAGCAGTTATCGCGCATGTAGTAAATAGCGCTGACAACTATATTGGGCAAAATGTAGGCCTCCTTGTATTACATGCTGTGTGTTCTGCAAATTGAATGAGGGATAGATATACTTATGAAGAGACATGTACTTGTGACAGAATGGCAACAGGATTAATTATCCCCTGTTCTCCAAGTGCTTGATTTATCTTATGCGGACAAAGCTAGCTGTAAGATAGTCTACAGATTACGGATGTGCGAGCCCGTATTCCAGCCTGCGGATGAGATAACGTCGGCCTTCGGATGCTAACACCGACGGATAAGAAACCGAAAAGATGGGGCGTGCGGCAAGCCATTGTCAGTTGGCCGGACCTTTGACTCATCAGGTTGACCACTCCGAATCCTCTCCTTCTATAAAATATTGTGTACCCTCATCTGCATAAGACAGGCTTCACCTCACACATTCAGACCTCTGCCACAGCATTAAGCCAGCAATCAATAATAACCGCATATAAGCAACCATGGAAACAGGTCTCTCAGCACCGTTGAGTCCCTTGACCCCGCACCCGCGATTAGGGTGGATTGGTAAAGAATAGCCAGCTATAATTACAATGTTAAATCTCAACGCTCTTGCTGAATACTATGATAGGTCTAGGATCAATGGGTCTTGCCATGGCAAGCAACCTGCAGAAACACCTCGTCAAACTCAGTGCACCGAATCTGCAGTACTACAATAGGACATTATCACGCGGCGCCCCCCTTTCAGAGATCGGAGGGCTGGCACGCTCCAATGTCAAGGATATTGCCAATAATACTGATATAATCTTCATGTCCCTCAGCGATGACACGGCGCTCGAAGCAACTCTAGATGCATTACTCGAAATCCCCGCATCAATTGACTTGACTGGCAAAGTTATTGTGGACACGTCCACCGTCCACCCATCCTCGTCGGCAACAGCGAGAGATCGTCTGGCAGATAGGAACGCAAAGTTTGTCGCAGCTCCTGTGTTCGGCGCAAGTCCTGTGGCTGCGGAAGGAAAGCTGTTATGGATCATCGCAGGGCCTCGCGACGCTGTGGATAGGATTGGCCCCTTCATCATTGGCGTCATGGGAAGGGGTATCATTCGGCTCGGCGAAGATGTACAGCAGTCTAGCATGATGAAGACGGCCGGGTAAGTACAGCAAAGTTGGCCCGTAAACTGAACAGTGAATACAATACTTACCTTTCTCAGGAACTTCATGACCGCAGGGATGATGGAGCTTGTCGCTGAAGCTCACGTCTTTGCCGAAAAGACGGGACTTGGCACTGGGGCGATGGAAAAGCTTATTGAACAGCAATACGGACCACTGGCTCTATCAATATCAAAACGGATGACAACAGGAGCCTACATGCCACCACGGGGCGAAAGACCCATGTCGGACTTGACACTGGCTTTGAAAGACGTTGGCCACGGCATTGATTGCGCAGAGAAGGCCGGTGCACAACTGAAAGTTGGAGAGGTCGTTTTGCAACATCTTCAAGAGGCAAAAAGGTTCTCGGAAACTGATAGAAGGCAGCTTGATTCCTCGTCCGTGTACGGTGTCTTGAGAGCAGAGTCTGGGTTGCCATTTGAAACTGTGATCGTCAGGGGGAGGGACGATTTTCAATCCTCAACCTTAAACACTGGGGATGCCGATCACCCGGAATATTGAATCCTGGCAGAGGTAAACTGTTGTGTCGGGCTTCGTATAAAACAGCCCGATTGTTATTAGCGTTTGGTACGTCAATGAAAACAGGTGAAAAGTAAGAGTAAGGCACAGTTCAGGCGATGTCGACTGTAGCGGTCTTCACGGCCCTGAGTACTAGCATCAAGGCAATTCCGTTCGGCAAAACATTTTCTCATCATACCTCTAAGGGCCTGATCGGCTGTGAAAAGGGGAAAACTTGCCTACAGTCGCATGACTTCGATTTCAGTAAATAACAATAAATGAGCAAAATAACATATGTATTGCAAGTTCATGGATTAGATACGACAAGGTGTTCGACTGTTTTGAAGACAATCGGCAAGAAAGAGTTGAGTCATAATCATATTGAAGTGCATGAACAACTCTAGACCATCATATCCCAATAAATCATCGACAAATACAAGATGCATACAGGTTTTTTCAAAATGAATCATCCATCCTCATAAGCAGTACATTTCGACTAAATCATCTTGGCACATCTTACAGTACTACGTCGTCGAAACCTGGCTGCTGTGGAGGGCAGAACGTGAGCAATAGTGAATCATTCTGACATCCCTGTCTAAGTGGAGTTACATGGGCAGTGGCAGTATATTGTACAGATCTTGCGCTCAAAGCTCTCTTGAGGCTCATCCAGTAGCGCTGCTTTAAGGGTGATTTTGTTGTTGTTGTTGTTGTTGTTGCTGCTGTTGTATTTGACGCCGGGGGGCTCCCTAAGAAGGGCAAAGGGCGCCTGGTTGCTACTTTAAGTAGGCCAGGATTCTATTGTTGGTATCACAGGCGACCGATCGATAGCAGCAATAGCGTATATTGAATAATGGGTGGTGAAGCTGTTGATTGATTAGTTGGAGAAGAAGATGAAGGACACAGTGGCCACTGCCGTGAATATCACCATGGTGAAGGTGAGCAACCGAGGCGGGTCACGTGACCTCGGAGCAGCCCCACTTCACCACCGGTCGGGCCGGTTGGTGATATCGTAACATCTATGCGGATATATAGGGGGTATTCTATAGCCGTTAGGAGCCTGTGGCATCCTCAGTCATACATTATTCTGTTCCTCTCCTTCAGCTAGATTCTTTATTTTCCTTCCCAATGGTACGGAAAGTCGAGTTTCTGCTAGTTGGGAGGCTAGTGCTAGGAAGAACCTTGGGCAGGCTTAGAGGGACCCAAAGGGAGCAGAGCCTTTGGAAAGACTCCCGAGGCAGGCTGAAGGGAAAAATCTAGCACAGCTTGAAAGTCGCTACACGGGGCGAGCGAGGGATCAGCGCGAAGCTGTCAATGTCGGTAGAGGCCTTGAACCGTTCCAAAAGGAGGCCTCTTGAGTCCATCTCGAGGGGGTTATCGTCTGGTTGATTGGGTTGAGGGGGAACGTGGTGGGGTTAAGAGCAGAGACTTCGAAGGATTTTTCGGATGTGTGCCGCCCTGTTAGGGGTACAGAGCGTCTTCCATATTCGTCAACAGAGGGGTCCGTGCATCCATGCGTTGCGAAATGAATAGAAGGGAGAGTTGGCTTTACTGTAAGGGTGAGGCACCTAGTGAGCAAGGGTGAGCCAGGGTAAAAAGATATCTACTGAGGGTGAGGCATAAGAGAGCAAGGTGAGCGAAGCTAAAATTATCAGTAATATAGTGACAAAGCGCGTACAAAAGTGGAGGCACCCCCATTTGTAGCACACCTTGCTGACCACCAAATACTCTAGCACTTCGACAAGTTAAGCCTAGGGGGGGTTACGTGTTTAGTTATGTAACCTCCTCTAGATTTACTATCCCTCTAGTATCCAAACACCACTATTGTAATAGTGTTCTAATAGACCCGCTGTATTATAATAAGAGAGTTAAACGCATACAGAAAGATTGATTGTTAGACAGAGCAAATAGGGGCCAAGAACACATTAAAATACACAACTACATGGATTCCACCTCTTGGCGCCTAATAGATTATCACTAATGCTGCCTGTCGGAATTTTTCTGGGGCGTGTGTGCTCATTCCTCCGAAATAATCGGCGCGCCGTCTACATGCTATAATAGCTTATGCCCCACCGCCTTATTCTCTGACTCGCCGGCCCTCCTGCGCTGCCACTGTCTTGTTTCTTATAGGTCATTAATTATACCTTTCATAGGGGATGCCGAAAGATAACGTTTTCCATTCCATCTTGTCTATTCTATTAATGATATAAAGCCTAATAATCTACGCTCTGTAAAGAGAATGATTCATCCCATCTAACCTTTCGCTACATACTACCACATCTTGGCATTCTTAATCCTTACCTAAAAACAAAACATAAAGACACCAGCGTCAACATGAAGATTTTTATCAGCGCCCTCACTGCCGCCTTACTCGCTAGTGTTGCCAAAGCGTGCGACACGTACGATCAGTGCCGTTGCACCATGGCCGACAACACATTCAACAACAACGCTACGGAACAGGCATGCGATTACTTGAATAAGAAGGCTGGTGGCAATGAGACTAAAATGATATATGGGCCTCGCGGAAGTCACGATGCCGAAAGATGGTGCGTCAGATGGGACGGGGACTACATTGACAACTGTGATATGCGGGAAGCGTGCGCTATGACCAACGCCACTGGAAAAGACTCTTGGTGCAAGTTGGGGCTGTCATAAGGCAATAAGACAGTAAATCTAAAGTAGGTGGGGGTTGTTGAAATAATCCTCAACAATCAATATCAGTATCAGCATATTGAAACAGGGTAGGGCAATTGGCTCTATCATAATTATACAATTGCTAACTAGGATTGTTAGGCAAAAAGAAACATAGGTCTAATCAGGGGAGAGTATAAGAAAGACTAATTAGAAGAAGCTTAGACAGAGGAACAATATTAAACTTTTACTTTGACTACTTAAATACAACTAACTACCTTGAAGTAGATTAAACTAAAGTCTTTCCTATCGTGTTGTTTAAAGTCTTAGGTTATGAAATACATTTAGAGTAGTTACTGGAGCTATTACCATAGGATTACACTAGTCTGTCTTTTTCTTTTTAGTAATCCTAACCTATGTACATATAGATTACTTTGGTTTCACCTAAGCCTTATCTTAGCCCCACCTAGGTTCTTGTGTAAGGTAAGCTAAAGCAGCAAGAGTCATCCAGCTCACCCTACTAGCTAGAGAGTGATGACCCGAAGTAGCTCCGAACGCAGATTCTGTACAATGGCGTTATGTGCTCGGCGTCCAACGGTAAACCTGTTGTATGGTCTGACAGAATGAACACGCAGTTCTGCATCAGCCGTTGATGACTTGTTTGATATGATTGTTCAGACCATGAGTACTGGTATATTATGACATCCACTTGTCAATCATGCCGTGCACCCTGTCTGATCAAAAATGAACCTGGCATGCTTCTGCTGATTAAATACTATCTTCATTATGGTACAATCGCTTAATCATGAATCTGTTGAGACCTCTTATAGTCAGTAGCGGTCAACGGCCAAGCCTCTCTCCAAGCTTTCTCATTGGCCATTACCTAGCATAGGGGTTGCGGGCATCCTACATCCAATTTAATTCTGGACTTGGCACTGGTCTGAGAGAGCTAAAGTTCAAAGGGTATACTACTAATGTTCTTCTTCCTTTCATTTCTCCATCAAGATATCGTCGATTTGGAAACGAAAATGAGAGTGTGAATTCGCAATTTAAGGCAAGATAGCTAAACGAGAGTAGCTCACAACCCCGAATTTCCTTCTGCCATAGAATATCTCTTGGTAAGTCTTGATATCCCGGCTTGGTTTGGTCAATTTCCAGAATCCAGCAACACTACCATGAAACTTTGGAATTGACATGATTCATCGTATCTGAAAGAAAGACTGGCTCGCCGTTCAGTCAACCCAACAACAGGTCACTCATACTTCGCACATACCAACCCCGGCGAAATCCATATGATTTGTTGCTCCGACAGTCCTCGAGGAACCATGTTGTCCGACCGCAGGGTTTTCTTACGATTTTAGTCGCGGTCTACGGCTCTCGGTGGTTTCGGACCATTATCGGGCTGGTCAGGCCCGGGACCAGAGTTAGGTCTGCCAGACGGATCCCCAGGACCCTTAGGCGGTGTCTGCTTCTGTTGCGGTACTAGCTGAATGTTATTGGGGTTTTCTCTCCGTTGGTTTGATTTCTAAGAACCTACCACTGTGCAAACCGTTGTCTCGCCGACGAGGTGGCTGAGGGGGGCCGGGATCATTTGGTCGTGGTCGGCGTCCACCTAATGAAGGTACATCAGTCTGCTTGATTTGGAACGCAGTCATTAATCATCTCTTGCCTACCGTCGCCATTATCTGGTGGAGGTGGCGGGTCTTGGGGCCGCCGTCCAGGCCCTTCTGAAAGTCAGCCTGCTTAATTCGAAGCAGACAGCTATGCATGGTTTTGTACTTACTGTCGCCATTACCTGGTGGAGGTGGCGGGTCTTGGGGCCGCCGTCCAGGCCCTTCTGAAAGTCAGCCTGCTTGATTTGAAGTAGACAGCCATTTATGGTTTTGTACTTACTGTCACCATCATCTGGACGAGGTGGCGGGGGGTCGGGACCCTGTCGTCGCCTTAGAGGGCCACCTAATGAAAAGTATTAGCATGTTGATCTTGGTACACCACCATGCTTCGACTTGAACCCACCGTTACCGCCATCCGGCCGAGGCGGCGGGGAGTTCGGTTCTTGTGGCCGCTGTCGAGGCCCATCTGAAGAGCAGGAATTAGCTTGCTTGTCCTAAGAGGATTGTCTTATGCCGTGGTATTTCTCACTGTCATCGTTACCTGGTCGAGGTGGCGGTGGTCCTGGCTCCTGTGATCGACGCCAATCTGATTATCAAACATCAGCCTGCTTTTCAAGAAGTCGAGAGCCAGATTTCATGCTGTAACACTAACGGTAGTCATAGTCATCGTCATCGTTGTCATCGTGATCATCTCGCATATGAAGAGTCTTGTCGAGAGCCAGACTTTCACGGCGGATCTTCGCAGAAATATCATTCGAGCGCTCCGCCACAGCTCCGGAAGGGAGCACAAGTGCCAAGCCAAGAGATTCCATGAGGATAAACCCCAGGAGAGCATGCATCCATGTAATTCCTTGCATATTGTCACGTTGTATATGGATGAATGATGTGGTAAACTGATAATTGTTGAGAGAAATGGTTATTGTACGGTTTTTGTTGGTGATGCTGTTTTCTCAATCGTTATATCTGACAGAAGGACCGTTGGCTTTTATACTCGTCTTCAACCAGGCAAGTGCCAGCATCGCCTTCGTTTTGTCGTGGCTGATGGCTGTGTTTCGACCATAGCCTCCATCAACTACGCCTGACCCAGAAATAGAACAGCATCTACCCATTGATATCCAACCCAGGACGTGGAATGTAGATCGAAGCTTAAGGAGGTAAATCTCCATTGCCAGTCAGAAAGATGGCGCGTCAACCAGCATGCGAATCAAATGGCCAACTGAGGGTGTTCTTTCAGCGCCAAGCTAGACAGCTAGCTTAGCCAGCGCTGCTTCATGATGGTCTCTGCCATGTATAGTGACCTATAGCTTGATTGTTGTATAGACCATGTGTCAGATATATTTGTTGAAGAGTGGATAGTGGCTGCAAGTGACGTGACACTGGGTCCAGGTTTGAACAAATTTGAGCGCGAAAGCTACGAATCGCTAGCTTACGTCACAAAAGTCCAGACTAGCTTGCTTATGAATATCCACTTGATACGCGCAATCTTTTAATTCGAGCCGAGATTCTCTCCTCCGTTGGGATGTATATAGATAATTATCGCAGCAGCATTGGTGACTTTAAGACACCCTTTGCTCACAATCAAGTCATGTGCGTACAATAACTATTACTTTCCAAACGTTCCGGCAAAGTGGTGAGCCAATAAGCTTCGAATCGGCAGTGATGGACGCGTGATACCCACCTGCAAACTTTACACGAGCGAGATCAAACTTCAAATTAGAGTTTAACTTGATGGCGACCGAGTAAGCAGTATTGCTTCTTCTGGTATCAGTGTTTAGACGCGTTCCAACAACTGTTGTGATTGCCTGCTGGCTGAGTAAGGCTTTTTCATGATCATGTTATCAGTTTGCTCTATGGCTGATGTGTGACACTAATTCTTACCTTGCTTTCTTTCTTTCCTTCCCTTTTCTTTTTGTAAGCTACGTTGAACATAGCAATCAAACCAACAGAATGCAATACTTCATGCAGTTTGGAAAAACGGCCATAATTTCCGCTTTGATCGTACCCATCGCCATAGGAAACAACCGAGCTTTGCACCCGGACATTCTGTCGATCACTGCATATCGTCAATGCAGGTGGCGCAGCTATCTTGGCTAGCCATAGTCAGCAAAGAGTGGTTGAATAAAGTTAGAGTTTAGTGGCACGTTGACAGTTCGAGCGGGAGAGCCTGCATGGACACTGTCATCGCCCAAGAGGCTTGGCTTGTTTTCGACGTTGAGGTAAATCTACAAGAGCGATCTGGAAAATGATCAGCCATGTACAGATGACGTTCCTTGGTGTCGTGTTTATTGCCACTCGGGGTTCGGGCTTCGGAATGGCAGTCGACATCTTGGTGTCGGTCTCACGGTTCTTGATTCCCACCTCTGCGTAAGCAGAAGCTGGGTAAGGAAGTTCTGAACCACGTTGATCGTTAACGTCTGTAGCAGTGCACAGAATAAAGTATTCTCTATACAGTGCACCAAACCAAGGTCCATGTGATTTACGACGTCTCACCATGAAACCGTCTCTCTATGGTTTAACACTAGGACTTTGTCTTCTTTGAAGATAACCAGATGGAACTGTCGACTAAAATCTGTTGGGTCAGTTAAGTCTGCATACGGACGGCTACGTGGCTTTTAAGGAACTTTCTGATTTCAAACTCAAAATGGCTCTGCCACTAAATGGTATGCCGTCTTCCATATCTCTTTGATGCGGCTAATGCGACGTCTCAACTTTGGTACTGTTTGTCGGCTCTCGTGCTGAAAGTCTTGTTACCAAAGCAGCGAGGCAGCAGAAGAAGCGAAGAATCTCTGGCAGAGACGTTCGTCAGGACAAGAAATGCGGAGGAACATTAGGAGGGGCACACAGTACAAATTGCTCTCCCTGGCCGAACATTGGACGTCCACACTTTCGGACGAAAAATCGTCATTTCGACGCAGTAATTCTACTTGTATTCACACACTGGCGATTGCCGAAATGGCCCGAGGGTGGCCTGAGAGTATTTTTCCAAAACCTACGCAATGTCTGATTGTTTGGCCAGGCAATGAGGCTAAAACATCAACGGTTGAACATGCTGCAGAGTCTCGTAGTGTTTTGCCAAGCTGGGAGGGCATCCGCGCGACATGCGACTTTTGAGCCAATTCTCCTCGCACAGTCTCTGCAGGTACAACAGCCTCCAATTTAAGGTTATAATTTGCAGAAGGATGCAAATAAAGATGGCATTTCCGGCCTCAATGCGGAATGGAGGTTGCCACTGTTCATCTCACCGGACTTCACGCGATATTTGTATTACCTTGTGTGTCCTCTGAGGGACTTGCACAAGTTCCCATTATATTGCGTGTCATAATCAATCGTTATGGAAAACGGGGATGAGAAAAATGCGGAAACGGTCGATCCCATTACGGCTCAGAAGGTGACTAACTAAAAAGCCCAAACATAAAAGAAGAAAAAAAAGCGACTCATTGTTATTTGAGAACTAACACGATCTAGGGAGAAAGCATCGACGAGAAGGTTTCCATTGAAGAAATATCAAGGTAGGATATAGCTCATTTTGGACTCTGGGGGGGATCGCCGTTGACATCATAAAGACAACTCAATGCCACCCCGGAAGAAGTCCTCGAAGCTAGAGAACATTCCCTTACAATTTCTCTTGAGGAGGCCAAAGAGGTATGCCCCCATGTACACATCAACCCCGGAAGTTCCTAACATAGCATTAAGTCCGCCGAAAGACTCGTCCACCAGCACGGCCTCGACCCCAACTTCCCAGCCGGCGCTATCGAGCGTCTCAAAGCCTTTCTCGCCAATGACGATATCTTCTCCAACCCCAACTCACACACGCACGAGATCTCCGAGGTCAAGATCGAAGTCTCCCTCTTGACGACCAACAGTCCATACGCCGAGGTGCGTGCCGTTGTCGATTCGCACGACGACGTAACTCTCCCCGTGAGCACTATCCGTGCCTGGGTTATTGGCATATTCTTCGTTGCCTTCATTGCGTTTATCAACCAGCTGTTCAGTGTGCGCCAGCCATCCATCATCCTCCGTGCCGAGGTGGTTCAGTTGCTGGCGTATCCAGCAGGGAAGGCAGCAGAAAGATGGCTTCCCGATGTCGGAATTACACTGTTCGGCGTAAGACACACTCTGAACAATGGGCCGTTCAATAAAAAAGAGCATATGCTTATATCGATCATGGCAAGTGTCGGAAAGACGCTTCCCAGTTCTAGATATATTAGTACGCCGTCATCTGGCGATGGCCTTTCTTGTGAAGCTCTATGCTGACTTGCGTTCGTAGTCTTCACACAATGGATGGATAGGTATTTCGGGCAGAAGTATGCAAAGTCGTTCAGCTACCAGATTTTACTGGCACTATCAACAAATCTTATGGGATTTGGCCTAGCCGGCCTTTGCAGGAGATTCCTAGTGTACCCTGCCTTTTGTCTGTGGCCTGGCTCGCTCGTCACCATCGCACTAAACAGCTCTCTCCACAACGGTGAGTACTCTACAGCAATGTTCAGAATAAGGATGACAACTAAGGCTTTTCGTAGAAACAAATCCCCCAGTACCTGGCCCATTCAAAAGGTTATATAAAATGTCCAGATATCGGTTGTTTGTGGTCGCATTTGCCAGCATGTTCGTATGGTTCTGGTTTCCTGACTACATATTTCGCGCCCTGTCACTCTTCAACTGGATGGCCTGGATCGCACCCAACAACTTTGCCCTTGCTACCATCGCCGGAGTCAGAAACGGTCTGGGGTTCAATCCCTTGCCTACCTTTGACTGGAACGTCGCAACTCACATTATTCAACCACTGGTTGTTCCGTTTCGTGTCACATTCAACACCTTTATCGGCGTTATCCTGGGAGGCATTACAATCATCGGCCTCTACTGGACCAACGCATACAACACCGCATACCTTCCCATCAACTCAAATCTAATGTATAATCATTTCGGCAGCCCCTACAACGTGTCTAGGATTCTTGATAGACGGGGATGGCTTGACGAGGCCAAGTACCAAGCCTACTCTCCCGGTTACCTGGCTGCCAGTAGCATTACCATGTATTACTTCTTTTTCGCAGTCTATTCAGCGACGGTATCCTACGCCATTCTGTATCATCGCCATGACATAGCTATTGGGTTTCGGAGCTTTGTGCGTAGCTTCAAGAAAGAAGCTTCAGACGACTACAAGGATGTTCATACCAAGATGATGTCCAACTACCCTGAAGGTAGGCTCAGAGCATCAGTCCCCATAGCGGCTCAAATCGTAATAATAGCGCTTAGTACCCGAGTGGTGGTATCTCATTCTCAACCTGGCTGCTATTGCTTTCGGTATTGCTGCCGTTACTGCATGGCCCACCGAGGTAAGTGGCTCCATTACCCTCGAGAGGGAGGGCGGGGAGGTGCTAACGATCTTATGCAGACCAGCGTTGGCGTCATTTTTTTCGGAATCGCCCTTGCGCTGGTCTTTGTCATTCCAACCGGTATAATCTTTGCTACTACTGGAATGGAGGTTGAGTTCAAGTAAAGCACCTCTTTCATGACGACCGACATCCCAGGACTCGGCTAACTTGTCAAGCGTTTTGGCCGAATTTATTGGAGGTGCCGTTCAGCCTGGCAACGCTCTCGCCATGAACTTCTTCAAGTGTTTTGGGTAAGTAAAATCACCCCAATGACGTTATGAGCACTCAGTCAACCATCTGACCTCCAAATCCAGCTATGTCACCACGGCTCATGCACTAGACTTCGCCAACGACCTCAAACTCGCGCATTATCTAAAGATTCCCCAGCGTCACACGTTCTTCGCACAGGTTGTGGCTGTATTTGTCTCGGCATTCGTATGCACTGGTATCATGAACTTCCAGATTGAGAGCATCCCTGATCTCTGTTCCACGTAGGTGCTGCCTGCGCCCCATTCGGAAGACGCCGCCCTCTAACGTGACTGTTCATTTTCAGGCACCAGAAAGACCGATTCACGTGCCCCGGTGTCAACACTTACTTCACAGCTGCTGTGCTGTTTGGTAGTCTTGGTGCCCGCAAGGTCTTCGGCCCGGGAGGCATTTATACCGCGCTTTTGTCGGCCTTCCCTGTCGGCTTTGCTGTGCCATTTGTTCTATACTACTTCCAGAGGAAGTTCCCTCGTACACATTGGTTTTCTAAGATCCACCCGGTTATGATCCTTAGCGGAGGTATCAGCTGGTCACCCGTAAGCCCTCAGCTCATCTCGCCGTGAGATAACCAACCCTGTGCTTACGATTATCTTCAGTATAATATTGCCTACATGTGGCCCGCCGTTCTTCCCGGATGGTTGAGCATGGTGTACCTCCGGCAGCGCTACCTCGCATTCTGGTCCAAGTACAACTACGTCTTCTCAGCAGCCCTTTCAACAGCCATAGCCATTGCTGGTGTCATCATCTTCTTTGCTGTCAGTTACAATGGATTAGAGCTCAACTGGTGGGGCAATCACTCAGAGAGTGGATGCGAAGCGACGGCTTGCACAAGGCTGCAGTTGCCTCAAGGCGAATACTTCGGACCACGCGTTGGCAACTACGCGACATAACAAACCTTGATTGAGAACTCTGGTGCTTGAAGAGTAGCGAGATAAGTTGCCAATGCTATAGTAATGCATTCAACTTGAAGAGGGGCGAAGACTGGGGTATCGCCGAGAGGATGCTCGGATTTAATGGAATACAGTTGAGCACTGAGCGCCTACGTCAACGTGAATGTAATCACCAGATATACCAGTCCGGCCGGAGTCTTTTTGAACATATGAGGGACGCGTCACGTATGATAGACAAATGCGCAGTAATTCCTTCGTCCCTCCCTGCTTCAATTCACATAGAATCCTGGCCAACATCGAGCAGGCCGTGGCCCAAACGTTATGAGAGTGGCCAAGCCGAAGTCTTTTCTCCGACGGCGCGCATTGACGCGGTGAGCCTCACCGAAACTTAGTTTTTGTGCGGAGATTACACTTTGCCGCGACCGGCGCCAATTACTACCAGAAAAGGCGCGATGAAACCATACAGTAGCAAGGGCAGCCAATCAGCGTTAAGGATCTCTAACCAGTTAATGGTTGTCTGGATCGAAGGGTTTTATACATCGTCGTTTGCTTCAGAGTTAGCCCCTCTTCTGCTTGCCTTGCGATCCTCCAAGTCTTTGGCACTTGTGTATTCGATACAAAAGCTCCGCCTAAGCTGACGCCCAGGTCCACCCCGGAACTTCTCGGCAGGACGAGCGACGCCCGTCTTGCGCCGCGTATCATGGTAAATCCAGCGCCCGCCATAAAAATTGACCTCACCGCCCTTCAAGGGTCTACGGCCATGGGCAGTAGCCGGACCCCATCTGATAGCTGTGGAATCTCATATCAGTCACCTAAGCAGGTGGAAAGGGGCTGTTTGACTTGCAAGTAAGTCCAGCCTGCTTTTACAGCTACTCAAAAATCTGTCTGACCGCTATCCAGAACGCGAAGAGTGAAGTCTGACGAGAAGAGACCATTATGTCAGCGATGCGCTGTCATGGGAAAGGTATGCGCCTACGCAGACCGTGGTGAGAGCTGCTCTTCTGGCCGGAGGCCACCGCTGCCCTCGCCGCCGACCCCAGTTCCCTTGGCACGTTGCAACACGCACGCCGGTCTTGCTGGGCTGACCCCTTCGAACAAACGCCACTTTGAATTGTTCGTTCGTCAGGCGCCCAGCAGATTACTGGGTATGTTCAGCTCGCCATATTGGACAAAACTCGTCCTCCAAGCAAGCTCGACTGAGCCTGCCATACTCTACGCCATCCTCGCCGTAGGGGCTGCTCATGAGAAAGAGCTGGCAAGCACTGAACCATGCAACTTCAAGAATGAGGAGGCGAGCGAACGTCAGGCCTCTGACACCGCAGAACGTCTCAGTTTGCTGCACTACAACAAATCCATCTCACTTCTCCAACCTCATCTTCTAAAGCCAGGCACCGAGTCGACTCGTGTTGCCCTCATTGTTTGCACAGTATTTGTCTGCTTGGAGTTCATCCAGAGACGGTACAAGAGCGGTTTCCTTCATTTTGGATATAGTCTCAAACTGTTAGGCAGCCTGCTCCGAAACAGAACATCGGCAACGTCCTCCGATCCGGCCGATGACTGGTTTGCCGAAGAGATTCCAAGGCTTGATTTGCAAGCAGCTCTCCTCGTGAACGAGTTCTACTCTGGGGCTGCCGGTTCCATGTCTTTCATATGGCATCAGTTGCCCCAGGCCTTTCAGACGACCCGCGATGCAAGTCACAGCCTGGACGGCCTGCTATTCAGAGCCCATACACTTCAGCGGAATGGCAGTGCGGTAAACTTATCAGGAGATGTAGCCGACATCTTCGAGCTTCTTGCTACACAACAAACTCTTCGGAATGATCTCGAGGGGTGGCTTCACTATTTCGATATTTTTAAAGCTCAGAGCTGGAGCCACTTATCAGACGCCGAAACGCTTGTATGTCGACAGTTACCGATATACCACACCATGGCACAGATCATCACCAACACCGCTCTGAACCCAAGAAACGAGTTGATCTTCGACCTGTATACGCATCAGTTTGCCTCGGTTGTTTCCCGCGCACGAGAGATTCTCGACACAATTCAGCCGTCGTCGTCAGAATTACCAACGCCAGCAGCAGACACGCCTGGCTCCCACGTCCCTCAACTCGAGTATGCTGTTGACATTGGCCTCATCCCGCCCTTGTTCTACACAGCAATCAAATGCCGCGTCCCCAAGATTAGGCGGCAGGCAGTGGAGCTAATCCTGTTAGGACAGCGTCATGCAGGAATCTGGGATGCGGAGCTATCAGCCCGTGTGGCCAGAGAAGTGATGACAATCGAGGAAAGGGGTGTACAAGACAGTCCACAGGACGGTAAAAGGGACTCTCCAGACCCCTTGTCAACCATTCCAAATCCGCCCCGAGTCCATAAGTTATGGGTGGCGATGCCTGGAGATCAGAAGGGGGACATCTACCTCAGCGTCCAGAGAGTACAAAATGGCGAAATGCAGGAGAAGTTGACAAGGAAGTTTGATGCATTAAATGGGTCTTGGACATCGATTCCCGTCGACTCGTATGTTTCTGAAGCAATAAATCGCGAAAGGGGGAGATAGAACTCCACAATGAAGTTTGCATGATTGTAAAAGGAAAACAAAAGGAAAAAAAAACCCATATCAAGATACCACACGTTTTGAGTAATTTATGTTGGTAGTTAGTCAGAGTTCCACCAAGAAGACCAGCAGGATTGGAGCGGCTTTTTCTCTGCCGTGTCCTTGTATGAATTCAGTTCGCTACTATCTCATACTGAGTGGATTGAGATACACATATGCTAAAGGTTAAGGGTTGGAAAAGTTGATGATATATTGTCGTAAAAAACGACGCCGTTAATTACGGGCAGTAATTAACGCCTTATATCACCTTGTGTGACATATATTCATATTTCTTGAGACGTCATGTACAATTGAAAGGTTGTCAATAAACCAAACTAACTAGGTGCGCAGGCCTCTTCGTCTGGACGTTTCATATTTTTGAAAAACATCAAGTGCGTAGAAGGCAAGTCAAGTTTCGAGCCCTATTCTAGCCCTATTCTAGATATCACGTACTGCGCAGAGTCGTTCTCATCAACTGTCTCCGGCAAATCCAGGATGTGATCTCCGAAAAGTTGAGATACAGCCACGGCTCGATCTTGGCAAGTGACGAGCAGTTTGAAAATTTGCGGTCCATCTGCAAAGCTCCTCACCAGCTGTAACAACTTGTCCATGATGAAAACGAAATGGGGTTGGAGTCCTCCTATTTCGTATATCGCTGCCTCGTCGACAATACACAATACTACAGTGCCCGGTGGCATTTGCTTCACCAACCTTTTGAATAATACGCAAAGAATCTTCGGTTCAAGCCTCGTCAGTTTCCTCCATTTGGAATATGTCAAGAAGGAGAGGTCAATTCTGGCTCCTTTGTCTGTCATCTGATGGAGTAGTTGACCGATCAGACTCGCAATGAGGCCAATTGCTGACGAATGCCACGCTACATCAGTGTCTGGCGAGTATCTAGGCCGGTGTTCGCCGCAGAAGAAGGCAATAACGAAGGATTGTCCCATCTCTGTCTCCGCAGCCTGAGATATGCGCATGAGCTCAGCCATCGCCAAGCTAAGCGGAGATATACCATCGGAAGCGGCAATTTCATCTCTGCCGTTTACTAACAGACATGTCGAGGCTTTGGACTGTCTCACAAATGACCTGAAGTCGCGATGTTGAAAAAGAACGGCAGCCTTGGACTTCCCCTTCTCTTCCAAACGATAGCCATGTCGGAGACAAGAAGCGATGTCCTGCTGAACGCCATTCTCGTCATAACCAAGAATCTGATAGAGTTTTGACCTCTTCGCATCTGATTCCGCTTTGTCATCGGCCATCCTTCTTTCGAGGTGGTTGCGAACCTCCTGCGACATAACATGAGGCAACAGTAGGCTAGACTCGGCGCCGTCGCCCGGCACTGTATAGTCCACATTTGCCATGTCGTAGGCTGCGATCCTTGGTGTGGAAGATCGATGCTCTGGTGCTAGACGTTCTAAGTATCATTTGTTAGCAGCGTATCCTTGGTAGACGACAATTGATCCCGTATACCTGAGCGGTTTGATCGGAACAGAGGGCTGGACTCCAGCATTTGAAGGAGACGCTTTTGAAAATTTTCATTGTCCGCCTTGATTCTTGCCAAAAGATGCGAATTTTCGTGAGTTTCTCTTGCATGGCAAATGTGAGCCTCTTCTTTGAATGCGTGGGCTTGCTTTCTGACGTTGTCAACGCTGATTTGCAAATCGCTTTTGTATGCGCTTTGCTTTATGGTGACCTGGAAGAACTTATCTGTTTTGCACTCGAGTCAGAAAATGAAACGACTTGGCTGACTATGGATTTCGTAAAACATACCCATTTTGCTGTCTGCGAAAAACTGCATGATATGGTTAAGCGCTGATAGAACTGCTCTGAAGAGTTCAAAGCTTCGCCGATCGAGTGAATGACCTCCCATCTCTTTATATAGAGCAAAGGTTTGCCTTGCATTCTCCATAATGTCTGGTATATCAGACAGGAACTGGAAGATGGCTTCTCCGGTGCTGCTGTACTGGGTGGCAGCCTTTTCACCTTGTGAGTAATCTTAACGATTGATTAATGAGGAATGTGGTATTTACTTGCCCCAATGGCCAGCTTAAAGACGCCGCAAATACTTCAAAAGAGACGTACGTAAGCCTATACAACATACATGAAGGTGAAGTTGAATGAAGTTGATGGGAATAGGGACGACTTGAACATACCTGGATCCATAGTCGCCCATCGGCAACAACCCAAGCCAGGTTTCGAGAGCTCCACTGTACTTGCCTATCTTGTCGATGAAAACCATTGTCTTGCTCTCTTTATCTGGGCTGCCTTTCCACCGCTCCGCAGTTGTGTTGACTTCGTTCAGAACCTGCTCCCAGCTACATTGCCTCAGATCACTTTCCGCAATGGGTTGGACTTGACGTCCCCCATTCCTCTTCTTTGACAACTTCTCCTGTACTTGCAACATCAGGGCAAAGAGACACTCTTTTTCATCGTCAACTTCCTTCCACATCAACGCACTGATGAAATGCCGTTTAGGTCAGCCCATGATGCGTTGAAGCATGTAGACATTCGTACCTCTCCCTTTCTCGCGCCAAAGCCTCGTTCAGGTTAACCAGTTCGCCCTTTTTCTCGCTGAAAATAGGTTGCTGTTTCCCAGGCACGGTGACGTGATTTTCCATGAAAACAATGGCTTCGTTGACGGGATGTCTGTTTCGTGCGGCCAGAAAACGGTCCCTGTTGTCCACTTCTGTATCGTTGAAGGCCATAATGGAAGTCGCCGCTTAGAATGCTGAGATATTGTATTGACAATCCTAAGTAGGGGGCGTCGTACTTTCCTTATCATAAAAGAAGTATCTGACGGAAATCGGAGCTCATGGGGTCGCAAAGGAGCAACCAAGCGAACCAACTAGGATACTGATATTGGACCTGCTGACCACCCATGCATAGACTTCGTAATTGTGCATAGTACTATTGGATGACAAGCTCTGCTTCTGGATGGATGCAGCAGGTGATATGCAAGCTAAAAGCAGGCTGTAGGCAGAAATGCGGCAGGCTACAGAAGCGGATGTAGCGTCAGCTATCTTAGTTCCCGGAGGGGGGAATTTCCAGAATCAGGCCTCAGGAATCATTGCTGTTGTCGTTTCCGATTCTAAAATCGTGATATAAATATGAAGTCGAGAGAATAACGGAGGAAGAGTTCGGCCTGTTGCAGACTTGAATGCCATTTCAATATTGCACATAAGCCATTTTCCGGGACTACCGCCAGCATTGCCCTTCATAAACCTCCTAATTTCACCCCGAGTTTGATCTCACGCACGACCTGATCACCTGTCGCAAGAATTAGCATTCCTCTGCCGACGCTGTTATCCAAAAAGCTATACTTGTGTTGGTATCGCGATGCCACCCGAAATTCCGCATTCGCAGCCGCAGTACACTCTACTCAACAAGGATAAGCTTGTTGGGTCCACCAAACAAGCGTTGGGCACGAGTTCTGAATCCAACAAGATCCAAGGCTTCATACCTTCAACCGAAGTCAAGCGAGATGGTCCAGATGCCGACGTTGATGTTGTGGAGTCAGATGATGGGGGAGACTTAGCCCCCCTCGAAGATGACAGCGATGAAGAGCACCGTGTAGCAATCCATGCAGCGAACTCTCTTATTCCAAGCCTAGAACGCATCGTACTTGCACGGGAGAAAAACAACGGCTCTATAAGACTACGCAGCAACCAGGCCGTTTTACATCACTCTCTTACCAACATGCGAATTGAAGACCTGGAGAGAGAGTTGAAACAGTTGAAGACTGATGTCTACAAACTTGACGAAGCCATTGAAACGCCTGTAAAGGCTAGATTTCCCGTTCATCGGCATCAGTTGCTACGGCTAAGCCCGCATCATTTCCGAGTCACCAGCCAGTCGGTCAGACTGCCTTGCTCGCAACAGCCGGCGTTAGAGGTCAAACTCCAAGAAAGAGTGGCATCGAAAACGACAGACTTGGGCATCAATCATGGCCAGCAAGGAAAGATTCAGGATAGAGAGCAGCTGGTATCAAACAGGCTCCTGGGCAACGAACTGCATACACCAGAGCGGCTACGCATCCGATCATACTCATTGTTGACGCATCTGGAGGATATCACAGGAAGCGACGTCTACTCTCTAGCCCAGAGGTCTACAATTGATCAGGAAAAGGTGCATGGTGGTGTCGTGTTTTTGCGGCCTTTCAAACTTTTCGTAAGGCACGAGTCACTCATTAGGGAGAGCCTGAAGGAACTGGAAGTCAAAATGCGTAAAGCAGCTACGGCTGATGAATCGACAGAGACGATTGTTTCGAAGAACAGGAAGGCGCCTCGACGCGAGTACGAAGACAAAGACCTTCTTGAGGATCTAAAACTTCTGGTGCATCAGTTTTTTGATGTTGACCTCCGGCCAACGTTTGAACTGCGTCGAATGATAGACGAGGGCATAGCTCTCAATATTGAGTACGGCGATCTTTGGCATCTATTCTCCAGAGGTGACATTGTTGTCCTCCAATCCGACCAAACCCATGCTCATCGGGTAGTCAACCTTGCCGGAGGGCGCGAGCGTCTAAGATATACTGCTCGATTAGACGAACGCCAAAAGCCCGTTCACCTCGATGGTTTCGTCGTTGACTGTTTGAGTCTTGGGGCCGACGGCTCTTCTTACGTCCCTAAACTCGAGAAGATTACTATCAAACAGTACAACGGAAAAAGAAGAATCACGACCTTGCCGGTATACCCTCTTCGATTTGATCCCAGAGAGGCCGAGTTGCGCACCAAGTTCTCTGCCGTTGGAAGACGCTTTTTAGACCTGACTCGTCATCCATTTTGCCACAAGACAGCCCGGGGGAGAACTTTGGACGAGCCATCGCACGAACTCGATGCACAAGTCATTGTGGATATGACACTTGCGTCGACCGCAAAGTCCGAATGGCGACTCGGCTCCAGCATATCGACTGACGACTTCACCCAGAGAGACGAAAGAGAAACAAAAGAGGATTCCTGGTGTAGACACCGGGATGAAGCATGTTGTGGGGGCGACGCCATCTTCAAAGACCTCAAATATGACGAATTGGACGCGGCAATGTTCGCTGGAAGAGTGATGGGGATGCTGGGCCCGCTCCAGGAAAAAGATCTGACGGAAGAAGATTTGATGCTGATGCAGCCCTATGTCTATGCGTTCGTTCTCCGTTCTAGACAATGGGTGAAAGTAAGGACATCAGATCTACACGACGTCATGTTCGAGAACAGTTTCCAGGACCTCGTGATCCCGGACGATCACAAGGAGACGGTGAGAGCGTTGGTAAAGACTCACGAGAACACACGGGCCTCCTACCTTTCTGAAGATTTTAGACCAAGCATTGGGTCTGCATTGGACCTGGTTAAGGGAAAGGGTGCTGGGCTGATCATCCTCCTACACGGTCCGCCAGGCGTGGGCAAAACGTCGACGGCTGAGTGCGTTGCCGACGACACGAAACGACCGCTGTACCCGATTACCTGCGGCGACATTGGCGAAACAGCTGCCGAAGTCGAGTCAAAACTCCAATACAACTTCAGGCTTGCGCACAAATGGGGCTGCGTGCTGCTGCTCGACGAGGCCGACATCTTCCTTGCGAAGCGGACAAAAACCGATCTTCGGCATAACGCGGTGACCAGCGTGTTTCTACGCAGCCTCGAGTACTACGCTGGTATTCTGTTCTTGACCTCTAACAGGGTCGGCGCCATTGATCCGGCATTCAAGTCGAGGATCAAAATGTCACTCTCGTACCCGAGGTTGGACTTGAGCGTGACGACTCAGCTTTACCAGAAGTTCATCGACCGGACCAGAGCGGAGCAAGAGGCTACTCAGACCCATCGTTTCAAGATCAGAGACAAGGAGATCCTAGCCTTTGCCAAGAAGCATTTCATCGGACTTGAGAGGGAAAATCGAGAAACTTGGAATGGAAGGTAAGCTTCTCGATACCTAGTTTCCCAGCACCGTTCGGAATACTGACTATTGAATCAGGCAAATCCGTAATGCTTTTCAAACAGCCATAGCACTTGTCGAGTACCAGTATATGACAAAGGATGCGGACGAACCCAAGCCTTCTCTCGGAAAGAAACAGTTCAAGTCTGTGGCCCAGGGATCCAGGGAGTTTGATAATTACCTGTATAGTGTCTTAGGGTTGACAGAGGCGGACGAAGCCAGGCGCGATGGCTGGCGTGACGATGGCTTCATGGTTGCACCTGTACCCATGGCTATGAATCCTCTGGGTGCGACTCAAAGATCGCAGGCAGCCTGGCCGTCTCACAACCGACAGACGGGGAAAAAGGTGCAGCAGGTATCCGACTCCGATGATCTGTCAGATTCCGACACTGATGAGGACAACGAGGACGAGAGTGATAAGGAAAAGAATCGGTATTTTGCAGCAGGGGCGCCTGCTACCAAGGTTACCGTTGAGGCACAATCTGCCAACATTTCTGGGGGCTCCATTGACATGGAGCAGTTCCAAAAGTTCTTGAAGTTTCAAGACATGATGGCCAAACAGAGTACGTAGACACACCGGGTAAACATTGCTTTTATCTAACAATACCTTTTTCCGTTTCTTTGATCCGTAGTTGCCTCAATTTTCTATGTCAGGCAGCGGCCATACAGGTATCATTCCAAAGTTACCAATAGTCTTCTTTTGTACTAATATTTTGTTATCTGAGTCCTGTGGACGTCTTACTTGCAGCATCAAAGAAGGATGATTGCTGATTTCATTCAGCATAAGGATAACTACTGACGCAAAGTAGCTAGTAGATAGACTAATTCGCCCTGTTAACTGGAATATGTTATCAAATAGAATGATAAACACAAGCATTTCTGTTGAATACTACAACTTTCTACTACTTTTGAAATATAATAGATTCTGTAATTCATATTGACTCTCTTATACTACATGCTTCCTAGATTCTATCATCTGTAGCAATCTTTATGATCTCTTTAGCTATACCCTTCATGACTCCCATCCTCGACTCAGGCCCGGAGACGATTATGTCCCAGCCATTTTCACCACCCGATCCGACGACTCCTTCGGTCTCAACATGTTCGAGCTCCGCAGGCTCAGCCCGAATAGCAATGCAATCCGAAAACAAAGCCTCGTCTTTTTCTTCCTTCTGCCCATGCAGCCAGCCAAACCGAATGTTAGGCTCGCCCATATCAGCGGCCTTGAGCAAATCCAGGTCCTCACGTTGCATATTCTGATGGTTCTGATACTGCACTGTGAAACCGAAACCTGACCTAGATGCAAACTCCATCTCCGGTAGGCCAATGCCTTCGTGCTCCATGCCATCAATCAGTTGCTTGTGGATGACATCCACGATGTCAATACGGTACGCGGCACCCTCGACGCAGACAGGGACGAAGTTAATACGTGGTCCAGTCACCGTGGCCATGCTGCCGGATTCAGCGATCTCCTCACTATTTGAAGACGTCGCGGAGGCCATTGCCCGGCCCGCCACTAGTCGGCCAAAGACGACGTTGTCTACGCCGGCAACTCGTGAAATGGTGCGAGCACAGATGGCTGTGAAGAGTGTCGCCGGAGTGACGTTGTTCGTGCTCTTGGGAGGCCAGTTAGGGAGACGAGTTCGAATAGAGGGAATAGACAGCGAACCATCCCTCGTCTTGGTGGCAGAGAGTGACACCGGCTCAACCCCTAGTCTCGTCATGCTTGCGCCCTGCAAGATGAGACGCCAGTACTTGATGCTTCGCTCTCTTGACCGGCTGACGGCATCGAGGTAGCGTCCAAAAGGCAGCGGACGCTCAAAGGTGCCATCACGGGCGTATGACGCGACTTGCAGTAACATGCGGTTCAGGCTGATTCCATCGTACTGCGCATGAGGCAGGCGAATCATGATACGAGTCGAGGGGTCACCGGATGATCGTGCATGGTGTAAGACCCAAAACTTGACGAACGGGTAGCCAAGTGCCATGGACTCGTAACCCTTGGAGCTTCTGATCTCCCGAGTTGCTGCTTCGAGACTGTCCGTGTGCTTCAACATACATAACGGCTCCAGAGGAACTTTTGCGGATGGTGCGAATGTCATGATGTATCCAGTTGATTCCTTACTCGGGCTTTCAGGCAGAAAGACGGCTCTCAGGATGTCGAACATTACCCAGAGCCAGTTGCAAAGCTGTATCGCTGCCTCCGGGCCCCTGCCCAAGTGAGGGAGTGATGCTGGAAGGTCAATGATGCAAAATCCGTACCAAGCCGGCTTTGCGTGACGGGTTGCGTCTATGCAGAGGGTTTGGAACATGGTGGCACGCCGGGGTGCGAACGCATCCAACGTGCTAATAGTGAGTTTGTCTTTGGCAAGCAACATGGCATTATCTGTGTCTGTTCGCTTGGTCGATTGACAGAGATGAAGATGCCTGGCCTGGTCCCGAAGAACTGGCGTGGCAATGACTTGCGCGGCCCGTAGGCTCAAGTGCCGATGCCGAGCCATTCCGACGACCTTCATGGCGAGGATCGAGTCACCGCCAAGCTGAATGAAGCTGTCGTCGATGCCGATCTTGTCCTCGGCAATAGACAGAACCTTGGACCAGATCTGTCTGAGCTCGGCTTCGTTTGCTGTCTCGGGCGCGAGCTTCACGACGGCAGCCGGGGCGCCCGCGTGGTCGAGGCGGAGGACTTGGTCCACTGTCATGCTCTGCAGAGACGCCGACAACTTTCGGCGATCCACCTTGCCCGAGTTGTTGACGGGAATGTCCTCGATGGGGATGCAGACGCGCGGGACGAGCGTCCACGGGAGTTGTCTGGCCATCATCTCGCGAAGCTCTGAAGCACCCAGCCAGTCGGCCACGCGCTGCTTCGATGAGGCCGACGTTGCAGACTCGGATTGCCTGGCTGGCTGGGCGGCGATGAAGGCCACCAGCAGCTTCGTTTCGGTGCCAGCGGGTCTGACGAGATCCGCCGTCAGATGCATTTGCGTGCCTTGGTCGTCCAAGATCTGCTGCGCCACGAACTCGATTTCGGCCAGGCCGACGCAATGCCCGCCAATCTTGACCTGCGTGTCGGCTCTAGAGACGTAGGAGAGGGTGCGGTCTGCGTTGTACCGGACGAGATCGCCGGTCCGAGACGGTCTGCCGCCTCTGCCTGCGTGTCCAGGTGCGCCCCGACGTCTCTCTTGGTGAGAATGTGGGCAGTCGTTGCCGTCGTGCATTCCGAGGGCCCGTAGGTGTTGATAAGCCTCGTCTGTGGTCCATTCCTCAACCATTGCGCTGCGTCGGTGCCGAGGACGGGCTCGCCGCAGAAGCCCAACGTCTCCAATCTGACCATGGAGCCGGGGTCGATTGTGCGGCTCACAGAAGGTGTCAAGTTGACCAGGTTGGCTTCGAGCCATCGGAACGACCGCGCAAGGTCGTCTCTTCGTTGATCGTCGGTGGGAATGCACCAACAGCCGCCGACTGTCAAGGTGAAGATGAGGTTGAGCCATGTTATATCGAAGGCGTATGCGCCAAAGTCATAGACGCGTGACTTCTCCGAGAACCCGAATGCCTCAGCCTGGTAAGTCGTCGCGGCAGCGAAATTGCGTTGCCGCACCATGACGCCTTTTGGCTTGCCCGTGCTGCCGGAAGTGAAGTTGACATAGAGCAGGTCTGATGGCTGCACAGCCGTCTTTTTGGGTGCCTCGTTTGCTGTCCCGCGCTCAAGACCGCATGCAGCAAGGCTCGATATGAATGCGGCATCGACGACGATGATGGGCAGCGCCATCTTGTGTTCCATGTCCAGGACGCGTCGGCAACGTTGCTCGCGGCCGGAAGAGGCCACGATAAACGGGGGCGATACCTGATCGATCATGTCGTGGATCTGGTCATCCTGCAGGTTATCGTCGAGGGTGAGCACGGCAGCGCCTGTCTTCCAGACTGCAAGGATTGAAACGACGGTCCACTTGGACTTCTCGAAGAAGAGAGGGATGACGACGTTTGGGCGCACGGCGGCCCGTCCGGCCGCCATCAGCGCCAGGGCCAGTCTTTCAGACATGTCGTCGAGCTCCCTGTAGGTGTATTGGCCGTCATGTGCCCGGACAGCCAATGACCCATGCAGGGCCTTGGCGTTCATGTTCTCGATGATCATGTTGTGGATACGCTTGTTCACATCAGGGGCTATGGTGGAATTCCAGCTCCAGGCGTCCTCAAGGTCGCGTGTGCTGGCGGCCGACAAGGTGGCGAGAGTCGCATCTGCCAGCTTCTCGGCGCACATCTGTCGAAGCAGTGTTTCGAATTGCAGAGACATCCGTCGCACTAGGTCCGTTTCCACGACTCCATCGTCAAAAGTGAACTCGATTCCGATCCCGTCTTCCAAGGTTGTGAACAAGACCGTCATGGCGTAAGAGCTGAAGGCGAATTGGTCAACTACCACTTGGCCACTTAGACCTGGATCTTGGGCTTGTTCGGACGCGTATACGTTGAGGCTCCGACCGAAGAGTTGCTCTTGCGCGCCTCTGTCGACCCTCCTTGCTTCATCCATATCCAGCTGCATTACCAATAGGGTGTTGAAGGCGCTTTTCGTATCCAGCCCTTTACCTATCCGTCTATCATGACAGCTGCCGCCCAATGCATGGCAAAGATCATTGTTCTAGCCATATTCTCGCGCTACCTGGCCATCACCGTCCCTTTCCTCTGTGCCGCGGTATTTTTCTTGCAGCGGTATTACCTGCAGACTTCTCGGCAAGTTCGTTTGCTAGGCATCGAACCCAAGGCACCTTTATATACCAGCTTCCAAGAAGTGGTGGCTGGCGCTGCGACAATTCGTAGCTTTGGATGGCAGCAGCACTACGCAGCGTCGGTGTCAGCTTGACTGCCGTGGTGTCGTTCAATATCGTCCTCGTCGCCCGCGTCATCCAAATGTGGACGGGCATGGAGTCGAGTATAGGAGCCGCTGCCAGGATCAAGCAGTTCATCGCGGAAACGGACTCGGAAAACGGAAGCTCTGATCCCGGTTTTCACACTTCGCCCGGGTGGCCTCGAGAAGGATCCATCGCCTTTACAGACGTTACTGTGAGGCACAGGTGAGTTCACTTGTCATTTTTTCGTTTTGTTCTTTCTTATTACCATCATCTATTGGTAGTGGCAGTCACCTAACCTACGTGTGTTAGACCTGAATCTTAACCAGTCTTTAAGGGAATAAGCTTGATCATCAGACCGTCCGATCACGTCGCAATCTGCGGCCGTTCCGGTAGCGGAAAGACATCCATGATATTGTGTCTACTCAAGATGTTGGACATCGAGAGTGGCAGTATCGCCATCGACTCCGTTCCCATCTCCAATCTCAGCCCCAACAGTATGCAGTCTACTATAAGTGTTATCCCGCAGAATCCGTTTATCCTTCCTGGCAGCATCAGGCTTAACATAGATCTTCACAAGCAAGCTTCGGATGCCGAGATGACTTGCGTCTTGAAGCGAGTTGGGCTAGGGGGGTCTGCTCGAGGCACATGGTCTTGATAGATCGGTGGACTAGGATACGTGGAGCGGCGGGCAGAGACAGATGTTCTGTTTTGCAAGATGTCATGCAGGATATTGCCAACCGACACTGCTTTCCAGAACAACGTCGCTTATTAATCCAACCCTTGCTCCTAAATATAGATACTCGCGGCAGAATCCACTAAGCAAGGCAATATTTAAGGAACATAGATTATAGTACTATAGATAAAAGAAATAAGCTACTTTTAACTATATAAATTACCCCCTAAATATACTACTTAATAATAGTTATAAGCCTAGCTTTAACTTAATTTATAAGTAATAATAACTCTTACTATTATAAAGTAGTACACACTTAGAAATACCTTTCTTAAAACTAATACTCTTTCTTAACTTTATTCTACGCCTATAATGCCTTTAGAAGTAATAGTAAGTCTACTAACTAACACTTGCCTTTATAGCCTTTTAACTATATATAAAGATTAGTTCCCTTAGTATATAAAGCTTTACTTCTTTGCTACCTAATGCAAAGTTTAGTAATTTATTAACCTAGACAGTAAAAAGGAGCTCCTAAAGTACCTTAGAGCGCCTACGCTAACTAAATATATTATAGAGTAAAACACTAAGTACTAAAGGTAATATATAGCTAACTTTATAAGCTAGAATAACCTTTTAGTTAGCTAGTAAGTAAAGTAGTAAGGCTAAGAGCCTATTTAGCTAGTAGTACTAACTATTAATAATAAAGTAATAAAGCAAGAATAAATTATTACTATAAGTAATTTATCTTTTGCTAAGCTAAAGATATATAAATAGTAAAAGGTAAATAACCTATTATTAAGTTAGGTTAATACTATAGTTATAAAGGAGATTATAGAGGGTATATAGCTATAATTACTAAATAATAATATTAACTTTACCT